GCAGCCAGGTCTCTTAGGAGATCAGGTGGGAGATGGTGCAATGGAGCTGTGGAGAAGTCTGGTGGAAGGAAAACTGATGGAAATCCCAAGTGGCCAATGACAGAGATGGTGGGGTTGGGGAGGTGAGGAGCAAGGTTATCCATACAGTGCCAGACCTCAAGGCACTGCCTTTCCTACCTGGGCAGACCTCCTGAGGAGACCCTCTGCATCAACATCAACTGCAGAATGCTTCTATCACCTTTTCTACAAACTGAACAGTAATAAAATATAGCCTTTAAACTAAAATCATTTCTATTAGGTGCACTTTGATCTCTTCCACCTTAACTACACTATCAAATGACTGCAATTAGGTGGACAAATACGGAATACTGAAAGGAAATTGCAAGAGGCAAGCATTTTAATGCAACGGATAAAGGCTAGGTGAGCAACAGAGTAAGAGCAAGGATAAGAGATTATGGGTTTGGGAGTTGGCTTAGATGCAAGGATTTAGGTTTGGGACAGCCTAACCTCAGTTAGTTTAGTACTTGTGGGTTACTGTCAGGGTGAGGAACGGCACAGAGGAGGTTGGGTTAGGGCTTAAGGCTACTGGTTAGAGACAGTGTTCGGGCTTAACATGAATGTTTTCACAGTCAGTGTTTTCAAACCAACATTGCTCTAAGCCATTTGACCTCTTAAATATTTTGTGTCTGCCGGCTAAGCCTTTCTTTCCTCTCTCAAATCTCCCATTTCTCTTGCCCAGGCTCTTCCTGACCGCCCCAAATATTTCATCTTTGGGGCGGCACCTTGTGGATGATCTTGATGACCTCAGAGTATCTCCCCACTACTGAGTAGTCAGAATTGACCTCACAGCCAGCACCCAAGGGGACACATTGTGCTGCTGTGCTCGAGAGGCCTCTGGACAGCCTACGCAGCAGTGCTGGAGAAAGGTGAGGACCTGCACCATCCCAGAGGTTCCCTGCCTGCAGACTCGCTCATGCATCCCAAGGATTCTGGTGCCACTTTTCCCACAGGTGTGCTTCAGTTACCACAGGGCATGTTGGATGCAGTGGCCACCTCTGCGCAGAAAACTGAATCAAGCCCAGAATGTAAATTTTAGTCAAAAGTTGAAGCAGAAAAGAAATCTATGTAATAGCTGAAACAGTCTTAATTTCCAGCTTTTAATGAGAGTGGTGGAGATGAAGCCCAGGTCAAGGAGGGATAGGTTGAGGAGGAAGAAGTACATGGGGCTGTGGAGGGGGTGGTTACATGTTATGGCAGTGATGATGAGACCATTGCCCAGGAGGACAGTCAGGTAGATGCCCAGGAAGAGCCAGAAGCGTAAGATCTGCACCTCCTGTGAGTTTACAAATGCCAGGAGGAGGAACTGGGTGACGGAGCTGCTGCTGGACATCTGAGGACTCAGGGATTGAGGGGCTGTCCAAAAGCGAAAAGAGAGCAACAAGTTAGAAGAGCAAGGGCCACAGCAGGCTCATTGCAGCTGCCTGTGTGTAGCCACCCAGCTCTGGGTGACGCTTCTGTCAGAAGGCTCTACAGAGGGATCTGGACAAGTTGGATCAATGGGCCAAGGCCAATGGCATGATGTTCAACAAGGCCAAGTGCCGGGTCCTGCATTTCAGTCACAACAACCCCGGGCAACGCTACAGGCTTGGGGTGGAGTGGCTGGAGAGCTGCCCAGCAGAAAAAGACCTAGGAGTGTTGGTGGACAGCTGGCTTAACATGAGCCAGCAGTGTGCCCAGGTGGCCAAGGCTGCCAACGGCATCTTGGCCTGTATCAGGAATAGTGTGGCCAGCAGGAGTAGGGAAGTCATCGTGCCTCTGTACTGGGCACTGGTGAGGCCTCACCTCGAGTAGTGTGTTCAGTTTTGGGCCCCTCACTACAGGAAGGATATTGAGCTGCTGGAGCGTGTCCAGAGGAGAGCCACCAAGCTGGTGAGGGGTCTGGAGAACAAGTCATAGGAGGAGAGGCTGAGGGAACTGGGCATGTTTAGTTTGGAGAAGAGGAGGACGAGGGGGGACCTCATTGCCATCTAGAACTACCTGAAAGGAGGGTGCAGAGAGGTGGGGGTTGGCCTCTTCTCCAAAGGGAATAATGAGAGGACCAGAGGAAATGGTCTGAAGTTGTGGCAGGGGAGGTTTAGATTAGATATTGGGAAGAATTACTTTCCTGAGAGAGTGGTCAGGCCCTGGAACAGCCTGCCCAGGGAGGTGGTGGAGTCACCATCCCTGGAGCTATGTAAGAAATGTGTAGACGTGGCTCTTCAGGGCCTGCTCTAGTGCCCGAGATTATCCGTTTGTGGGTCAGTGTGATGTGGTGGGGTGTTGTATTTTTAGTTTTGTTGTTGGTGTGTGGTAGTTTTATTGCGTTTTTTTTTTTTTTAAGGTTGGACTTGATGATCTCGGAGGTCCCTTCCAACCATGGTGATTCTGTGATTCTATTGAAGAGGACTGGACCCAGTACTGACCCCTGGGGAACACTACTTGTCACAGACTTCCAGCTGGATTCTGTGCCCCTAATCACAACCCTCTGGGTTCTGTCTTTTAGACAGTTTTCAATCCACTCAACTGTCCATTCATCTAACCCACACTTCCTAAGCTTAGTTATGAGGATGCTGTGGGAGATGGCGTCAAAAGCCTGGCTGAAGTCAAAGTAGGCAACGTCCACTGCCCTCTTCTGGTTTATCCAACCAGTCATGACATCATAGAAAGCTATCAGGTTAGTCTGACATGACTTCCCCTTGGTAAATCCCTGTTGACTACTTCTGATAGCTTTCTTTTCCTCCAGATGCTCTGAGATGACATCCAGGATGAGGTGTTCCATCACCTTTCCAGGGATGGAGGTGAGGCTGACTGAGGCAAAGAAGGCATTCAGCAACTCAGCCTTCCCTGCATCCTCTGTTACCATGGCACCCGACTCATTCAACAGCGGGCCCACATTTTCTTTAGTTTTCTTTTTGCCTCCAATATCATTGAAGAACCCCTTCTTGTTGACTTTGACATCTCTTGCCAATTTTAATTCCAAGGAAGCCTTGGCTTTCCTTGCTTCTTCCCTCCTTAGTCTAACAGCATCTCTGTAATCCTCCCAAGTGGTCAATCCCTTCTTCCACTCGGTGTAAACTTCCTTCTTCCACTTTAGTTCTTTCAGAAGGTCCCTGCTCAACCACCCAGGTCTCCTGCTTTGGACAGGACCTCCCGACAGGGACAGGGAATTATAATATTTTCCATCACTTAGGGAAGGGATTCAGCCCCCAGTCCATGGCTACAGTCCTCAGCTGCCCCCCATGCACAGCACAGACCCACAGGAGGTGGGATTCCTCTGGCCTCAATCCAGGTGTGCACACAATAGGCACCTGCATGTGAGCTGCTTGTCTCAGCTCCCATGGAAATCAACGCAGATGGAGGCCAGGACACACGGGTTCAGATGCAAAGGCCCAGTGACATCTGAAGTTCTGGGCTTGTGAGCTCTAGTGGAACAACAAAATGGAGACATATAGCAGCATCTGGGGGCATCTTCGTGGACACTGGTGGGGAATCTTTGATGAAATGCCACCAGATGCCCACTTGGAGGAGGACAGAACCTGTCTCTATTGGTTCTGTTCTGGGCAGCTTCTGCAGGAATTCACCTGATCAAATGGAGTCAGGGACCACAGGGAGAGCTACATTTCCCTCTGTCTTTCCATCAGCCAGGTTTGCTGGATCTCCATGGACTACAACGATGGCTGTGTGCAGACCGTTTGCACATTGCCTACCCAAAGGCAGGGCAGTTATTCCATTTAATGACAAACACAGGCCTGTAGAGTTCCGTGAGGTGCCACAGCTCCCACACACACGCATTGGGAAGGGGCAGAGATGGCCCTGCAGAGGAAAGCCACCCGTACTCAGAGCAGGTGTGTGACAGACACCCCAGACACCATCGCCAACACACTCGGTGCCTTAGTGCAAGAAACTGATTGTCACCTCTGCAGTGTGGCACGGTCTGTCTCTTTACGATCCAGGAGATGGGGAGACTATCCAAGTAGTCCATGAGGAGGAAGCACATCACACCGGGGTCTCTGTGCTTGTGCCCACACTTTCAGACTTCTGGTTTGTCTCCCCACCAAACTTTACTCACCCCTGAAAAACACAGTCAAGGAACAGACACACCATTTTCACAGTGGGCCTGTCAGCAGCACCTTGTCGTTCCTGGAGATGAGGGACACCTCTGCCAAAGGCCCCAAGGGGCAGCAGAGACACCACTGACAAAACCCCTGGTCTTCGTAACTCTTCACTGGGGTTTTCCCCTCCTGGCACTTGCCTGCCCAGCCAGCCCAGCCCCCCCGAATCTTGTCACCTCCCTGCCCTCTTCCCAGCTGAGCGGCCCCAACGATACTGGTCCCACAGCAAGAAATGGAGGCCATTAAGAATGGTCATCCAACCGGCATGCTGAGGAGACCTCCACTGCGGGCACCTTGCAGCCCCAGCTACCAAACTTTCTCCCCAGGATACATGAGAGAATTGGCCCAGGAGATCCTCGGGCAGCTCCTTTTGCCCCAGGGACAGGGCAGCCTGCCCCAAGCTGCCACCCACAGCAAAAGGCTTCTCTTTCCATGTCTCCCCTGGACACACACAGTGTTCTGCTCTTCTCCTAGGACATCCCACCTCCCCACAGAGGTTCTCCCTAAACAGCTCATCTGTGCTGGCCTGGCCAGCCATTCCTGCACCCCCTCCCCAGGCTTCCCACAGCCCTCAAGCTGGTGGTGCTGCTTTACAGAGCAAGGGGGCTGTGGTTCCCAGGGCCACGATGCTCAGGCTGGGAGGAAGACACAGCTTATGGTGGCTACTGGCTCCTCAGCCTCAGACACAAGAAGTAGACACTGCAGCTCCAGAAAAGATCTTGGAGAGATAAGGTTGGACAAACATGTCAGTGCAACGTCCTTTGTTTTGTTTAAATGCAAGAGAAAACAGTTCTTTATTTGCACAGGCTCTGGGTCACAGCAGACAGACAGGGTGTGTAATGAGTTACATTATGAGTGAGATGTAGAAGAAGATGGGAAGTTCATTGCTGCTTCTGAAAAGAAACCAGTCATCAGTTTGCTTAGAGCATCTTTCAGCTCCTTGTTCCTCATGCTGTAGATGATGGGGTTCAGTACTGGCGGCACCACTGAGTACAGAAATGACACCAAAAGGTTCAAGGATGGGGAAGAGACGGAGGGGGCATTCAGGTAGGCAAACACTGCAGTGCTGACGAAAAGGGAGACCACGGCCAGGTGAGGGAGGCAGGTGGAGAAGGCTTTGTGCCGTCCCTGCTCCGAGGGGATCCTCAGCACGGCCCTGAAGATCTGCACATAGGACACCACAATGAAAACAAAACACCCAAAGACTAAACAGAAACTAAACACAAGAAGTCCAACTTCCCTGAGGTAGGTATCTGAGCAGGAGAGCTTGAGGATCTGGGGGATTTCACAGAAGAACTGGTCCACAGCATTGCCGTGGCAGAGGGGAAGTAAAAATGTACTGGCCGTGTGTAGCAGAGCATAGGGAAAAACACTGCCCCAGGCAGCTGCTGCCATGTGGACACAAGCTCTGCTGCCCAGGAGGGTCCCGTAGTGCAGGGGTTTGCAGATGGCAACGTAGCGGTCGTAGGCCATGATGGTGAGAAGACAATACTCTGCTGAAACAAAAAAGCCAAACAGAAAGACTTGAGCAGCACATCCTGGGTAGGAGATGGCCCTTGTGTTCCAGAGGGAATTGGCCATGGATTTGGGGACAGTGGTGGAGATGGAGCCCAGGTCAAGAACAGAGAGGTTGAGGAGGAAGAAGTACATGGGGGTGTGGAGGCGGTGGTCACAGGCGATGGCAGTGATGATGAGGCCGTTGCCCAGGAGGGCAGCCAGGTAGATGCCCAGGAAGAGCCAGAAGTGCAAGAGCTGCAGCTCCCGTGTGTCTGCAAATGGCAGGAGGAGGAACGCAGTGATGGAGCTGCTGTTGGACATTTTCTTATTCTGGACAGAGGAACCTGTCCAAGGAGGAAAAGGCAGTGCCAAATTGGGGGAGACTTCTCTGAGAGAACTCTATGAAATTTCTCACAGAAATTCTACCCCCTGAGCTGAATGACAAATGACCCAGCTGCCCCTCCCTGGAATTCCCCAACCCGAGCAACAGAGTGACATGCTCCGTGAGTGATTATAATGGTGTTTAAACAGCTAGTTTCCATGAGGACACCTCTGGGTCAGGACTCCCAGAGTCAGACCAGAAGCTGACCCCCACCCCGACCCCAGCTCCAAAGATCAAGAATTCAATGGAGTGGGGGAAAAAGTCTATGCTCTGACAAAATGAAACAAAGAGAGGAAGACAGATGGGCACACAGTGAAGCCTTCTCCTTACCCATCTGTGCTCTCCACCTCACAGAGAGCAACACTGGAGGGCACTTGTATTTCGCCTGTTGGTTGTGTGGTGATCAATGGACACGTGCACCTCTGGACTGGAGGTCCAGCTGCCAAGGATGTAACTCCTGCCCTGAACCCTGTGGTTTTGGGCACAGAGGCTGTGCTGTCTGGGAGAGGAGAGCGGTGGCTTGCTCCGGGCAAGGTGCCTGAGCTGCAGAGGATGGGAGGGAGGTGCCTGAATCCCCCTCCCAAGCCTTTCGAGGAGCAGCTCCCTCCCTCTCCCTGCCCACGGCTCGGTTTGCAGGACCTGTCCCTGCCTGGAGCTGCTTCTCTGCCCCCGAGTCTCCTCCCTGACAATGCTCACAGACCCCATCCACCTCCTTTGTGCTCAGCTCTGCCTTTCAGAGCCCTCCTGGCAGCCGGGCATTGCCCGGGGACGTGTGTGTGTGTGTGTGTGTGTGTGTGCAGGGGCTCAGGAGCAGGTCTGAGAAGTGCTAACGAGAACTGGGGTCTCCGTGCCTTCTCCATCTCCCACTGCCCACCCAGCCAACCAAGAGGAGAAAACTCAAAGCACAGACTCCTACCCTTTCAGGTGAATCGTGCCCTTATGGGCTTCCTCAAAAGGACTCTCTGCAAATGTCCTGGGGCAGATCTGGAGCTGTGAGCAGCCCCGATCCATGCAATTCCTTCTCAAAAAAAAGAAGGCATCTACCTTCCTGAGGGTCACTACTTCCAACAGCAGCTTCTCCCCACAGTCTTGGGGAGATCCCTGGGCAGGCTGAGTGGTGATCCTTGCAGGCGGCAGAGTACCTGCCCCTGCACACAGTCCCTGAAGGGGCAGAGGACATTGCTGGGCACCCCTGACTGCACACCTGGTGTCACATCCTGCAGGCACCCCCAGGAGAAGGCAGCCATCAAGCCCTGCTCTGCAGCACATCCTTCTCCTCTAGACAAACCTCTGCATGTGCCAGGCTTAGATCTCTCCAGGAACTGCAGCTACATCATCCTGTGCCCAGAGACTTACTGTGTCAAGGGCTGTGAAGATGTCTCCCCGAGTGAACGCTCAGCTTGGTGCCTGCAGGCAGTGCCCTCAGCCCTGCTGCGCTTCACAGAGGAGCTGCTCCTGGGCAGAGCTGTCTCTCTGCAGCACTGCCCCATGGCCAGGAGCAACCTCCATCCCAGGAGCCCGGCCCAGCTCAGCACCAGAGGACCAGCCCAAGGTGGCACTTTCTCTGCCCCCTCTGGGCTCCCTGGAGGTGTCCCTGGGGCTCCAGGGGAACCTGCTGTGAAACAGGATGAAGGAATCCCTGATCCTCTATTGGATATGGGAGGTAACGTAGTGACAAAGGATGAGGAGAAGGCTGAGGTACTTGATGCCTTCTTTGCCTCAGTCTTTAGTAGTGCAATAGGGTGTCCCTCGAGTACCCAGACCCCTGAACTACCAGTTAGGGGCAGGGAGCAGGATGAAGCCCCTGTAATAAAGGGAGGTGGTGGGGGACTTGCTCCAAAACCTAGACACAAACAAGTCTGTGGGCCCAGATGGGATCCACCCAAGGGCACTGAGGGAGCTGGCAGAAGTGCTTGTGGAGCCACTATCCATCATTTACCAGCAGTCCTGGCAAACTGGGGAGGTCCCAGCCAACTGGTGTCTAGCAAATGTGAGGCCCATCCACAAAAAGGGTTGGAAGGATGATCCGGGGAACTCCAGGCCTGTCAGTCTGACCTCGGTGCCTGGGAAGGCCATGGAACAGATCATCCTGAGTGACATTATGCAGCGCATGAAGGACACCCAGGTGACCAGGCCCAGCCAGCACGGGGTCATGAGGGGCAGGTCCTGCTTGACAAACCTGATCTCCTTCTATGACAAAGTGACCCGCTTGCTGGATGAAGGAAAGGCTGTAGATGTTGTTTACCTGGACTTTAGCAAGGCCTTTGATACAGTCTCCCACAGGATCCCCCTGGAGAAACTGGCCTCCCATGGCTTGGATGGGAGTTACTGGGTTAAAAACTGGCTGGAGGCCAGGCCAAGAGGGTGTGGGGGAATGGAGTTAAATCCAGTTGTTGGCTGGTCATGAGTGGTGTCCCACAGGGCTCGGTACTGGGGCCGGTTCTCTTTAACATCTTCATCAATGACCTGGACGAGGGGATCGAGTGCACCCTCAGTCAGTTCACAGACGACACCAAGTTGGGTGGCAGTGTCGACCTGCTGGATCGAGCCACTTGATCTGGTCAACCCACTTGATTTAGTGCCCAAGATTATTGGTTTGTGGGTGGATGTGATGTGGTGGGGTGTTTTGTGGGGTTTTTTTGTTTGTTTAATTGGGTTGTGTGCTTTTTGTGGGGTTTTTGTTGTTGTTGTTGTTGTTGATGTTGTTTGGGTTTTGTTGTTTGTTTGGGTTTTTTTTTGGTTGTTGGGTTGTTGTTTTTTTTTAAGGTTGGACTCGATGATCTCGGAGGTCCCTTCCAACCATGGTGATTCTGTGATTCTGTGTTGGTCGACTGTCAGCTGAACATGAGCCAGCAGTGTGCCCAGGTGGCCAAGAAGGCCAACAGCATCCTGGCCTGGATCAGGAACAGTGTGGTGAGTAGGACCCGAGAGGTGATCATCTCCCTGTACTCAGCACTGGTGAGGCCACACCTCGAGTACTGTGTCCAGTTTCGGGCCCCTTACCACAAGAAAGACATTCAGGTGCTGGAGCGTGTCCAGAGAAAGGCAAAAAAGCTGGTGAGGGGTCTGGAGAATAAGTCTTTTGAGGAAAGGCTGAGGGAGCTGGGGTTGTTCAGCCTGGAGAAAAGGCAGTTGAGGGAAGACCTTCTCGCTCTCTACAACTACCTGAAAGGAGGTTATAGAGAGGCGGGGATCAGTTTCTTCTCCCAAGTTACAGGCAATGGGACAAGAGGAAATGGCCTCAAGTTCCACCAGGGGAGATTCAGGTTGAATATTATGAAAAATTTCTTCACTGAAAGGGCTATCAGGCATTGGAATGGGCTGCCCAGGGAAGCGGTTGAGGCACCATTCCTGGAGGTTTTCAAAAGATGAACTGACAATGTTCTCGGCAATATGGTTTCGTGTTGGTGTGTGTTTTTTTTGGTTTTGGTTTGGTTTGGTTTGGGTTTTTTTTATGGTTGGACTAGATGATCTTAAAGGTCCCTTCCAACCTAGCCGATTCTGTGATTCTGTGATTCATTAGGCAAAACACGAGCCATCGGCAAAGACGGCCAACTGCATCCTGGGCTGTGTGAGCAGGAGCACAGCCAGTGGGATTATCCTCCTACTGTCAGAACTTTTAAAACCACATCCAGATAACTTCTCTAGTTTTTTATCCCCACAATGATGGACAGAATTTGGTTAACTGCAGACCGTTCAGTGGAGGGCCACTAAGGTGGTCAGGGCTGGAGCACATGTGCTGTGAGAAGAGGCTGAGGGCTTGGGCTTGTTCAGCCTTGAGAAAGGAAGATTTTGGGGGAACAGCCTGGCACTGTTCCTGGGAAAAATAATTGAGGCTCATGTCTGTGAAACAATACACAAGGACAAGAGGCAATAGGCTGAAAGAACAAAGGGTCAGACTAGGCACAGGGAGAAACTTTTCCAACATGAGGGCAGTCAGGTACTGGAAGCTGTTTCCCAGGGAGCGTCCACCAGTTTTATCCCAGAAAGTGATCAAGATATATTTGGATAAAACCCTGGTCTGAATGTGCTTTGAGCATGAGGTAGGTCAAGACACATCCTGAGGTTTCCTCCAGCCTGAGTTATGCTGTCCTTCCTTCATGTTTTCAAATTAGGGAAAGCTCTCAGGCTGTCCCCAAGCATGGAAGGAATTCATATCAGGTGCTGCTCTGCTCCACAGGTGCCTCCAACAGCCCTGACCACATCCTCTCCCTGCCCCAAGTTCTTCTCTTTTATTACCCTAATATCTTCCAAAAAGGACTGGCTACCCTTTCAGTCCTTTCCTCATTGGCCATACATTTCTTGGTTTATATCCTCTTTCAGTATATCTGATCACAGGATCATCGAATCATGGAATCATAGAATGGTTTGGGTTGGAAGGGACCTTAAAGATCATTGGGTTCCACCCCCCTGCCATGGGCAGGGACACCTCCCACCAGACTAGGTTGCTCAAAGCCCCATCCAACCTGGCCTTGAACCCTTCCAGAGATAGGGCATCTACAACTTCTCTGGGCAACCTGTTCCAGTGTCGCAGTTGGAGAGAGAGGAGTCCATTTGATCTGTTCTTCCAGTGTCAAGTTAGTCTTTCCTTTTGGAATATATTTGTCCTAGATAGTTTGTAAGGGTGCACTGTGTTTATAAAATCTTGAAGATAAATCAGAACAAAACCCAGGATCCATCCCACAGATCATCTCAAATCTCAAATTCAGTAAGCAAGAAAATTACAATTAAGGGGCCAAATGCATCATCATGAGTCAACAACATAGGAAGTGTGTGTGGAAGAAGTTAAAATAAGTTTCAAAGAAGATTAGTTAATATTTGTGAAGTACTTTGAGGATCAGAAGTGTGAAGTGTATCAAGGAGTGGCAGAGGAGCAGGGGGCACGTGCCCCACGGGAGTCTCTCTTAATCATGGGCAGCCTCTGTCCACAGTCCAAAGC